ATATTTTTAATGTTTGGTGGAAACGAGTGCTCTCCTCCTTGCACCGGATGGCTTTGGGGGCGTTTTTGTTTTTTTTTTAGGGGGGGGGGGCGCGGCGGGTCGGGGGCGTTCAACAAAAGGGGGGGGGGGGGGGGGGGAGCTTCGAAAGTAATGAGGTCCCCCGGGCCGCTCTGTTCTATATCAGCCGTTGACGCCAGCTGGAATGCACAAAGACGAAGGTTTTAGGAACTGGATAATATTTCCTCAGATAAGATGCAACGCTTGAGTAAGTGCTCTTGACCGAAGCTTTCCTTTTCCCTCGGCCGCTGGTTATTGGGAATGGATGATCTTCGTCAAAATTTGTCAATCGTGTTTTGTACGTCGCGGAACGCTGGTACACAGGAAATCAAATGTATATTAGCATTAATGAGAAAAAAACTTTAATAAACATGAAGAGTTTAAGATAGCTAATATAAAAGTAAAGGAAAATAATTGTAGATAGCTATTAAGCGACATATAGATTTGTGAATTAAACGTGCTTGATTTACTTAGTGAATGTTTTGTATTTTCTTCGTGATTATCACCTTTAAAGCGAGTCTTCACTCCACATGCCCTTTCCTCTGCAGAGGCCTCTTTTTGTCAAAGGGAGGCTGGGGAGACTCGCAACTTAAGAAACGAGAAAGGAACTGGGTCGAATTACTTACGCAAAGACTTCTGGGAATGTTGCTAGGGCTAAAGGAAAAAAATTGGCCAATAGCTGACCGTTGCGGCCCCAGTAACGATCCCAGAAACATTTGCGGGACGCATTTCGGCTCCAGTTCCCTTTTCGTTTTTCAGTGGCGAATTTAAATTCCTCGTTGTTTTGATCCAGAGTCAAAGATAAGAGGGAGATCCGGCTTCGAAAATCATTTTTCTCAGCCCTGCGGGATTCAGTCTGGCCAAACAAGAAGGTGAGAGTCCCGGTCCTGGCACGGGCCCGGGACCGGGCCCCGTCCCTGCCCTTAGATCCACCAATGTCATATACATATATTAAATATGATCATAACATTTCGTCTTTCTTGAATAACCACATGCTGATTATAAGTGAGCATCGGCGGAACCCACATCAGATCTTCTTCTGAAACTGTTATGTAACTTTCAATTCCTTCTAAAATTTTTCATCTGATAAACTGTCAAAAAAACCCGATTCAGTGATTCATCTGCGGATACTTCGAGGTGCGTCCAAAAATACTTTGTCCGTCGTCAGTTTATTTAATTAACCTTGCCCTTCCGTTTCTTCTTATCGGATAAAAAGAGCACTGCGTCTGTTGTTTATTTCTTTCCAAATCCTCAAGCCTTGTCAAGGCTGATTCTGACGGAGAATCAGGAGAGCAAAAGGCCATTTCCGAGTTCCAAAATTCTCACTTTGAAAACGAGGCTAAGTGCAAACCTTTCTTGAGAAAATGGCTTCGCACTTTGCCTCGCTTTGAAACAGAGGCTTGGGGCTACTCGGAATTCGCTATTTAACAATTATTCCACGAGTGTACGTTGGATATGAGACGGTAGATAGCTTATATCCAACAAGTGCGAGTGGAATAATTGTTTTATTAAAAACGCCCACAAAATATCGAGA